GTGCACGTCCGTCAGTATCTACAGTAACAATAGAAAGGAAAGGCTTATTTTGAAACGCAGGGCATATTATTTGGTTGCAGAAGCCGAACGGCCATTCTACATGCACGCTCGAAAGCCCTACGAATATTAGTGAGGTGAACATTGTGGGAGCAATTGACAACTTCAGCCAACGCCGTATGGCCAAAAGTGCACGTTATTTTTGCATCACCTAGAAATAGGCTAAGAACGGCGTGTGAAGTTGGAATATTTAGACAGGAAATTATATGAAAACAACGTAATATGCTTCGGTCAACGTAAGAAAAACCTACCCAAAGGTACTCGGAGAAGTTTGCAAGGAGAGGTCACACTTATGCTCATAGTGTCGCTTCAAATGTATCCTAAGGCATAAACGAGTCCGTAAGCATGCAAAATGGGCATTGACGATGTTTGTGATAGCTTACATTCACCCACTAAGAATTAAAGCTCATATGAGCTAGCCTCTGATAGCAGTGGGCTTTGTATGCGTAAGAGAATAGAATTGATACATAGCATGATTGTTGAGAACTTAATACATCTAAAGCTACAAGGCAAATCAAATGTAGTCGTTAGAACGTGCAAGGTGTATGCGAAGGCTGTTTGTGCCCTGTTCTCTGGCACCAGTCATCCTACAATAATTCCTCTCTAATTTGCAGTTCTACGGCAGTTACACAGATCGATAGAAGGCCAAATCGACGAACACGCGCGTCAACACAGGAGCAGCAGCACGGCTTCGCATAAGGTCTCGTACAGTAGCGGGTTGGATGAGAAAGGCAGGCGAAAGTGTGCGCTTCTTACCCATTTTAAACTGGGATCAAATGGATCTGGCATGCTAGCGATGGGACACGAGGAACGCTAAACAAAAATATTGGACAAGAACATCTTCATTTAAAAGTTAATCAGCAGTCCATAAAAACGTTCGATCGTCCAATCAGTCCGCAAATCTGTTAAGTGGGTGTTATGCAACAAGAGGTACATCAGTCAAGCTGAGCTTGGACCAGCTGTTTGATTTTATGATAAAGACAGTGTCTCCCTTAATGTCGCAATTGTTCACTTTGATTAAAGTGGCTCGAAGCAGAGGCGCCGAGACTGCTGACTGGACGAAACATGAATAAGCTTAACGCAGTCCACCGCATGAGATATATAGGATCACTACAATAATTAATCTTTCGATGTGTTTCTTAACAACTGTATAGCAAGTTAGTGTCTATAAGTAAACGCGGCAAACAATAAGAATAAATCAACGAAATAAAGAATCAGGACACAAGAACATACAAATTACAGGAACCCAGGTTATATTGCCTAACGTATATGCAAACCTTATATCATCAAGTAAAACCACTGTGATTTGCCACACCAGATCCTGCCGCAGAAATAATATAAAAATAACGATTATGAAGAGCCTACCAACAATGACAGGACAAAACTGCCGTTTGACTGGAAAAAAAAACAGATTGAGCGCACGAATATTGGGAAGACTGGAGACCAGCTACCCTGATAATAATTTGCTGGAATTTTTATTCCTGTGCAGCTTGCATGCTGCGCTGGGCAGAGGAAATATGACTTTATCGCTGTCATTGTTGGCAGCTTATTCACAATCGTTGTTTTTATATCATTTCTTCGGCAAGATCTGGTCTGGTAAATCACTTCATAAATATTCTAGAAAACTGCTAACTTATCCACAACCTGTCTCTTTTGTAACTTGTTATTCCGGTAGCTAATACAGAAAACTGTACCAGAGTGTGGGGATCTACCCGATTTGAAGCTTACAAATATGCTGCAAGGGTAATGGGTACGAATGCGAAGAACCAAGCCAAAGAACGCAATTGAGACGACCGGAAAACGTGCGAGTAGATAGCGGGCAGAATGAGCAGTTGACAGGCGACACACGATTATCCCAACAGCTGCATAATTTATATCAACATGTAGTTTTGAAAATGCACGATAATTGCTGCAGCACAAATTGGATCTTGTATGCATTTACTAGGTCTCTATAAAGTTGTTGTTGATTAGAAAAGTAG